ATGCAAGCGCGAGGCTCCTCCATCTCCTCACGCGAGTCTCGCGGGCCTCCACCACTTGAAAAATGGATCGGTCGTTTCAAATTACAGTTAACCTAATTTACATTCAAATTGATGGCACTAAATACTGTTTCAGTTAAGATGTTAGATAAACCAACACCACAAATGCATTGGAAGCCTAGGAAACTATCAATCGATTCAACTTACTCTGTCACGTAGTTAGGTGAATTCAAGACGGGACTTTAACTCGGCGTAATTTTAAGTTCTTTTACTTGCGTTAGTTTGTGAGATAATGGCTCTTTCTGTATGTGTTATAACGGCCCACCGATCAAGGCCAGTTTGTTTCAAATTCATCGAGAAGATTGCTTTTGAAATGCTATGATAAAGGGATTGCAAGGATGCCAGGTCTTCCTAAGCTTTAGGTTTTTATAGTCTCATAAGGAGTCCCTTTAGGTCGCTTCCGCTTGTACAGTACGCTCAGCGCTCAGTGGATGTATATTATTTTACTTGTTGTGAAATTCTGCATTTTGTGAACTCGCCGCACGCGCATCATATACTCGCAAGCTCTACGATAATGGCACTTTACACGAACATAGGACCGCCTTGAATCTGTTCTTCTGTTTTCACTACACACGCTTTTTTTAACTAGTTGGGTCGATATTTCGTCTCCGTTATTTGCCATGGAATGTCTTTGATTCTACAGCTCTTGGCTGTTTAATTTGTTTCGGAAACTTTTAATATGGCGACTAAAGTCACTTGCAGCTTTTAGATGCCGTATGAGGTATTTGTATTTAGCAACGCACTTCACAATCCAGAGGAGAACTTGGTAGCATCATCGCAAAAGCATCACACACACACACACACACACAAAAAAAACAAATCCACTTCCCCTTCGAAACCTAGTTGTTTTATCTTAACATGTTCATAAGATCACATGGATATATTAGAACGTCACCAAAGACGAAATGCCAGCCTGCTGCAGGACCTCGGTGAAAACGAAAGAAACGTGCGCGAGAGAGCTGACTAAAACATTCCGCCAGGAGTAACATTATTCAGCTTGAGTATAAAAAATTTGATGACACTTAATGTGGATCAATTTCTGTTTTAAAGCTTTACCTTTTTTCCAGTAGTAATACATTTGACACGGAAAGATGGACAGAACAGCTCTCAAGATTCCGAAAAACGCTGGTTCAGGACTCCATCTTGAGGATGAATCGGAATGTGATGATAATCAGTCGGCCAGGCGCAGCACATTTGGACACTTTGAAGAAACGATGGATCAGTTCCAGCAATTCAAAGTGGAAGCGGCCACAGAGTCTTTGCAAGCTGCTTATAGGCACTTCCTGAATCTAAGCCCAGATAGCTTCAGAAACCCGACTGACTACGAGAAGGAGCAGGTGGATCGAGGTAGAGAGATGGGTTTGAGTTATTGTTCCGCTCCTCCTTTCTTTGGTGCTGTTTTGTTAAACCCCAAGCTGATCG